TAGATAGATAGATAGATAGATAGATAGATAGATGGGTGAGTAACCTCCGACTTTAAACAGGTGGTGGTTCTGCTCCACGTGGCCGTTCTGATGGTGCGATGGCTCTGGAGACGGCGCCTGGACCCGGACAGCTACTCCATCCCGTACCTCACAGCTCTGGGGGACCTTCTGGGGACCGGACTCCTGGCTCTGAGCTTCAGGATCATCCTCATGGTCAATTCCGCTTTGGACTGAAAGCTGACGGATGCATACTTCGGTGTACAAGGAGCTCAATGTTAGCTAGCAGGAGTTAAGAAAAAAGTTAAGGGTTAAAGAAGACGGGTGGTTGAATCTCCTGGTCCAGTCTTGGAAAAGCAGGGTCAAAGTTAAGACCCCTACCTCTTTCAGATACTGTGTATGTGTTAAATAATACAAAATGACTGACACACTTAAACAGTAAGGCCAATGTAGAAAGAAATACATATATTAATCTATTTTAATTCACAGTTGTGAGACGACTACAGAAAACAAGCCAAAATAAACAAGTGGAACTCTGAGTGGTTATTAATGTGCTCTCTCTGTCCATTTAAAAAAAAGGAAGACAAAAATCTATCTATCTATCTATCTATCTATCTATCTATCTATCTATCTATCTATCTATCTATCTATCTATCTATCTATCTATCTATATACGGCAACTTTTCATGACTATTTCTTCCCTACTTTTCTTTGTTTATTTACATATATATATAAACATATATTTACATGTTTTACAAAAGCTGGGAACAAATAGTCTCTCTATCTCTCTCTCTCTATATATATATATATGTATGTATATACATGTTTGACGAAAGCTGGGAAGAAAATAGTCGTAGAAATAGTCATGAAAAGTTTCCAGCGTTCATAGACAAACGTGTTGAGTCAGCTCAGACTTTGGCTGCTGTTTGTTCCAACTCCCTGTGGTCAATATTTGTACTCTGACTCCTGAAATCTCACTGACCTCAGTGTCCACAATCTTTGTGTTCCGGCCAAAGATTTGAACAAAGATACTTGTTGGAGTTCGGATCCACCCACATGGGAGCTTTGTTTGTACTCGACTCGACGGCTGAAAGTGGCTTCATTCTTGTTTGACTAGAGACTTTTAACCTGTAAAAAACTTGTTGATAACTTCTCATCTATGGTTGGCTTACTTGGTTGTAAAAAAAGAAAGAACCGATTTAGACAAAACCTCAAGTACGTTCTCGAATTCAATGCATTTATTTGAGGGAAAAGCTATTGTGGTTTGACGTTGCAACGTAGAATTAAGACAATAAATAGAAAAAATGAGTTCAACAGACACAAATATCCCCTCCTATGGTAGAAAACGGGAGATAAAAGTCACTATAAAGTCCTCAGTGTTGCCCGAGGGGGGGGGTAGAAGAAAACCCCACATCTAAAGGCACACTTGAATGAAGTCGTCCAAATAAACCAACGTCCCTTCATATGTCTTAAAGAAGCCTCCATCTTGAAACTTCCTCTTGAAAATCCTACTTTCTCTGTTGTTTGCTGTGACCCATACACCGCTCGGTTACCTGAACTTGAGGTAGGCGGGCAGGGAGTAGTTGAAGAGCAGGAAGTCCATGCGGTAGAGGTTGTAGAGCTTCCTCTGGTAGAAGGGGCTGATGTTCTGGAAGAACTGGGCGGCCATGTCCCCGGTGGTGCGGGAGTCCTGCTCCAGCGTCTCGTACTTCCCCACCACGTCGTAGTGGACGAGGTTCCAGACAAAGATTTGAACAAAGATACTTGTTGGAGTGGGGATCTACCCACATGGGAGCTTTAGTTTGTACTCGACTGGACAGATGAAAGTGGCTTCATTTTTGTTCCATTCTTGCTTGACTAGATACTTTTGACCTGTAAAAACTTCTCATCTATGGGTAGCCCACATGGTTATAAAAAAAAACTGATTTCGAC